TACATGTTTCAAATTTCTCCTCGCTGCCTTACACCTGAAAGAATGATTAATAGACTTCTACAGCACTGAGGGCTACTAAGGATGTACATGTACCCCATAGTTATGTCAAAGCTTGATGATGTTAAAAATAAGCATGCATGTTATATTCAGGTTAAATGCACAACATAAACCCATGCAGTGTGATAAATAACAGCGTGAAGGCAACATTCAAGTAAAGGTAAATATATAGCAGTGCTGGCTTGTCTTACTATACCTGTTTGTCCAGGAATTCCCGAGCGTCTTTCTCTATGTGTCCTTCATAAAGGTTAGTGGTGAGGCTCATTAGACCCATCTTTGACAACCCAAAGTCTGTCAGCTTAATGTGCCCCATGGAGGTGATCAGTAGACTGCATGTAAAGAAAAAAAAAAGGTATTGACACAGCTGAAGACAGAAAAATAAGCTTTGTTGCTGATGTGTCCTGAATGTTTTTATTTTTTTTATGCTTTTTTATGCTGATTGGCTGACGTCAGCCAATCATGTGAAAGCAGAGACTCCTCTTCCTTGGAGGGTAAAACAAATACCACATACATAGAACACGGGCAGCAGCTATTAGCAGTTTTTCAACTAAAACATGGTAATCTCGTGCTCCGCCTATGGGTGTACCAACCGACAAGCATCTCATTTCATAGCTTCCCTAAAGACACAGAAAGAGCAAGATGGGTGGCTGTCATGAAGAGACTAAGCTGTCAACCAACTACACCTGGAGAGTTTACAGCAATCACTTTTTAAACGGTTGGCTATTATGCTTAAATTGTTGCTGTAGAGATTTTTTCATTAAAGAAAAATGTGGAAATAGTCAAAAACAAATCGAGAGTTTCATTTTTAACAGGCATGCAGGGTTTCCCCAGCATATAATAAGCCTGGAGGGCGGCTAAGCTTCACTCGCCTCATCACAAGGATGAGGTGAGTGTATTCTAAATGCATCAATGTTTGAGAGCTACATAAAACAGTGAGTAAGGCTATGTTCACACAGCAGCCTGAAGTGACTCAAATCCAATTTGTTTTGCACATATGCGACCTGTATCTAATCTTTTCATGAGAGTCTGAACAACACACATCCGATTTGTTCCAATGTGACCCAGGCCGCTTGGATTTGTCGTCCTGAATCCAATACGACCTAATCTTTTCAAATACGACCTGAGTCTGAACTGCCAGGTTGCATTTATCCGACCTGAATGTCATTAATACTGAACAGAGGTCACTATTCTGCATCTTGCTACGCAGAAGCGGGAAGAAAAACAACCATGGGGGACGATAATGCAGATAGCAGTCTCTTTTTTTAACCTTCTTTAAAAGATTGTGTTGTTAATGCCTTGGCTGAGGTTAGGAAAGAAATGGAAGATTGCAAGATGCGCCCCAGTACTACCATCCATGTTTACTTCTGTAAAGGAGCACCCTCGCTTGTGCCGTCATTGTGTCCTCTACTGTGCATGCCGGACACTTGAGTTGAGTGATTGTAGTTCACACAGGAGATCACATACAATATATTTGGAAATGTGAATGACCATGCAAACAAGTCCGATTTCACAAAAAAAAAAATCAGAATTAAGCATTAATGCCTTTAGTGTGAACATAGTCCAAATGTCCAGTCCAGAAGAAAACCTCCCAGTCTGAACTGATATTTCAGCGGCACGCAGCGCTCTCCCTGGTATGGTTTAAACATGCATGGGCCTACAGTGACTTTCCCGAAAAGTACGATAGGCGATTTACCAAATAACTATACAAGTCATGGTAGGTGAAGTTGGGCATGGCCGACGGATGGCAGTCTTGAATCGGTGAAAAAAAGCTAGCAGACAAGTTATTAGGATCCTGCACTCCAACATGAGAACGTTTTGCTATGTAGCGCTGTTCTAACTTCCCATCTACATATTCCACACATGTAGACAATGTTGGGTTGACATATTTTAAACTCATTTTATATTAAATCTCTGTAGTAAATCTTTCACTGTATTTTTAGGTAGTTTTTATGCCGTCCACCGTGGTGGCGTAAACAGACAGAGGTCACATGACTGCACAACGTGCACGTCCTCTATAGACATTACAAAGGTATTCATTTCCAGCACCTCATCAATTGTCTGTTATGGAATCACTCATGTAACTGTAGTTAACTGAAGCAAGGTAACCACAAAAACAAAAAAGTACGGTAGTGAAAAAATTTACAAATTCACTACTGTAGAACGAAGAACTCACTTGTCAGGTTTCAGGTCTCTGTGAACGATACCATAGTTGTGTAGATACTCCAAAGCCAAAACGGTTTCAGCAAAGTACATCCTTGCTAGCTCTACAGGCAGAGCGCCGATGTTCTTCAGCAAAGTGGCACAGTCCCCACCTAAGAGACACACAATCATTTCTTTGACCCAAAAGCAACTTCAGTCATTTTAATCTCAATCTGAATATATTCAGCGTTTTTCTTGAGCCACAAATATATAGCCTCACACAAGTGTTGGGCAGCGTACAGTTGAATATCTTGAAATTCGCAAGAGAGAAATATATTATATTTAACAAAAACACTTGCCTTTCATGAGTTAAGCCTTGATAATATACAAGTACATTTTCTTCTTCAGTCTATATATCCTGACACCTCCCAATGATTATATTAATCTTCAGAGTGTCATTTTTTCACATCACCCCTTGAAACCTCAAAGATGACTGTTTATGCTTGCTGTAACTGTGCAGCTGAGGTGATCTGATCACAAGTGGACCAAATTGCGTCAGTATGCTCATTTCCATACGTACACAGCCATATTACTGCATCTCATTCAGTTGATGTCAGATAGAACATCAGCATTGAGTCACTGTTCATGTAAATTCGGATGCCAGCACTGTTAAAGATATTTCCACTGCTTTTAAAGTCTTTGTTATATATACTAAAGCTCTGTTAAATTATTTAGTATGCTTTAAATTACAAGTATCATGCTTCTTGGCTTATACATAATCAGCAGTTGCACAAAAAAATTAGAAAAACTTTTACACTGTAGTACTTGCAAAATGATCCACTGGGTAAAGTGTTATTTATTTATTTTA